TCCTAGTAGCGATGCACTTGTTACTAATAGCGTGGCACTTGTTCCTAGTAGCGTCCTTGCTCCTAGTAGTAAGGCACTTGTTACTAGTAGCGATGCACTTGTTCCTAGCAGCATCCTTTGCTCCTAGTAGCGATGCACTTGTTACTAATAGCGTGGCACTTGTTCCTAATAGCTTCTTGTTACTACTAGTAAGGCACTTGTTACTAGTAGCGATGCACTTGTTCCTAGCAGCATCCTTTGCTCCTAGTAGCGATGCCAGGAGCTCCTAGTAGCGAACATTGCTCCCAATTAGGCGAACCGTCTCTTAATAAAGAGCGGGCTTTAAAACAATGATCACTGATCAGCTCTCGACACCGGGAGGCAGCATTCGCATTTGCTTCTGCTGGGTGATCCTGGTACCGGAAAGTCACAGCTGCTTCAGGCCGCTGAGCACTCACAGAGCACTCTGCACAGCCTAGCCTGCTCCTAGTAGCATCCTTTGCTCCTAGTAGTAAGGCCAGGAGCCCCTAGTAGCTTCTTGTTCCTAGTAGTATGGCCAGGAACCCCCAGTAGCTTCAGACTTTTCTCCTGACACTGCCCCTGTTCAAGATGTCTGTGAGAGACACCTTCAACATTTGACCTTCGAGCAGAACGATTTGCAGCCATTTGGCTGGTAGGCTTGAACAATTTTTTGCGACAATATCGTGTACAAAGCCACAGTGACACCACTGAACCACGGCAGACTCTGTTGTTCAACTCCAGATTCTTTCCGAAGATTGCAAAGTCTCCACTCCTAGATCGCCTAAAAATTTTCCGGAAATTGCTTGTGCCATGCGCGGAGTGAACGCAGCGTTGCTGGGTATCTCTGCGGGTGTCTGATTCTGAGATGAAGATGCGCAGTAGCGCTTGTCAACAGCATCAGTGCAATGTCTTGTGCAACGGACAGCTTCAAAACGCTCTTTCAGCAACTAACACAGATTACATCCACATGCAGTGTGGATTTCATTCAGAGCAGAATTAAGGCCTTAGCGGGCTTGTCTCCAGGCTGTGCGCCTGATGAATGCATGTTGCGGCATGCCCACGTACACATCACGTTGAGATGTCTGGAGCATATGAGACCTGAATTTGTCCAACAGGTTTCGCGAACCTTGGCTTAGGCATGGCAGCTCAGGTGCTTTCGATGTCAGTCTTGTGAAGTTGTAGTCATTTTGGGACATATGAGTTTAGGTAGTTTGGAGGCCATTGCTTCTAGGTTGGAGGCCATCGCAAGTAGGTTGAAGTAGCTTAAGTAGCGGACATATTGACAAACTGTCAGAACCCGAGGCCGATGGTGCCAGGCAGAATGTTCAGCTTTTTGATTCTGGGACCCTCACGTTCCTTTTTAGACGATTTTTGAGCACGTTACTACTGGTAAGGCACTTGTTTCTAATAGCTTCTTGTTGCTAGTAGTAAGGCAC